GGCAGGGAAACTAATATGAGATAGGCTCCGTAATGGACAAAAAAATAACTCAGAACAAATAAATAAGTGGGTAAAATTTTCACCAAAAATGACAACACTCACAAAATGGCCGCACCATATTCTTAGAAAAATAAATCGGTAAAGAAAATTCCATAATTAATTAAATATACTATTGCAGTCGATGCTTGCAGATGAAATGTAATCTTATCCACTTTTTTTGTAATTCTAGCCGCATTTTTACTCGTATAAATAACACAAGACGGCATAATGTAATTAAAATTGATACTCGTAAATACGTCACGACATGCCACGTGCCAAAATTGACTGATCGTAGAAATTTCATACTAGTCTGGTTAAGAGTGTTTTGAGTGACTTCAGTTTAAAGCGCGTTGACGCCTTCTGGTTTGTTCTGTATTCTGAGATTTCGAATTACACCGCCGCGATCAAATCAGCTACAGATCTGACTTTCAATAATCAGACACAAACTTGTCAAATAAAATCAAACCAATACCGAAACATTTATTTATAAAAAACTTGTATTCTAATTTCAAAATCCAGAACAGTTGTGTTCTAACTGAGGTAACGACTCCTGCAAAATTCATTTTTTTTTATATTGGCAACACTGAATTCATCAAGGCGACCGCAGCCTAAAGCGTTTAAAAACTCTTGTAAACCCAAGGAGGTCGCAATCAGATGAATTTGCGAGCCAAAACTTTTTAAAATAAAATTGATAGCGGTGGTTAGCGCCCCAGCCGCGGGGCCAGTGTTATTTTTTAATTAAATTTTTCATCTTTCGCTTTTGAAGATACTGATATTTAGTAATTATGGAATACTTTTTTGTTAACATATTTTCACGATAAAATTCTTTTGTTTGCTTTTTTATGATTTCATCACGATTTCTGTATTACTCGTGGTATTCATTAAATTACAATTTAAATGAATGAGCTTTATTCATATGTATATGGAATATTAATTGTTGTAAAATACTTCTCCATGTTCGTAGTTCCAAAATAACATCCACTCATAAAACTAACCTTTTATGGTATTAGTTACGTGAAAAGATATATATACATAGGTACTCGTATATGTATAATAATAAGTTTGTTATTTTTCAATAAATCTTTAACAAAATCATGTACACATAACGCATATTACATATATACAACGTATTTGCAAAAATAAACCAGATTGGTAACAATTCTACAGAAACATGCAGTCTCAAACAAGACTCCAAAGCTGATCGATAAAAGGAAAGCCACGCTTGGTACGAGAATGTGTGGAACGAAGTACATTTGTTAGTACAAAGAGTAACATGATCGGCCCATTGGCCAGATAATAAGGTAAAGGCACCTGTTACAGTGACTCATTTAACAAAATTGTTATTGCGCGATAGTAACCCACAAAACGACTGTAGTAAAAGGTTCTAAATGAAAAATTAGGAGCTAGCAATTATGGTATTTTACTTCTGACTTTTTTCTCGTGGTGATCGATGGCCCTCGATGTAATTTAAGGGAGAGAGAGCATTTGGTAATGAAGCTTTGCTCTTTCAATGACTTTCAAAATTGAACCAGAAAATACATATTTTTGTGTTTAGAGTTTTCTTATAACCCCTTTACTGACGTCACCTTCGCGTACAATTAACGCGCGGCTGTCTGGCCTTAGCAAGGGATATCCCGCTGGGTGCGATTGATGAATTATTTCGAAGACAGAAGATATAATAATATACTTAACATATTTCATAAAATTCTTTACAGATTAGTTTGTAAGTATTTCCACATTTATCACATACATGTTATCAAAGTACACAATTGATAAATTTGGGACAAATATGCATGACGAAAAATCCACGTAGCTATATGCGATTAAGATTTCAAACTTTATACTAATACGTTCGAAAAATCGGGTTTCTTTTACACAGAGAACTAAGAACTCCAACATCCAATTCCATTTTGCTTACATAACAAAATAATGGTAAAGTTAATAATTCCAATATGAGCGACATTAATTTAGCAATTACAAAGGGCTTATCTAGTTGATCAAGCGTTTACACTGGCTTCCCTGCGATAGGGCCCGCATGGAACCAATTAATTATCTGTTAATATAAATGAGCTACTAAATTAGTTACCCTGTTGTAGGTACATGGGGCGACAAATGTATTATTGATATTTAATAATTAGGAACCTAATTTGTATTTGTGGTGTATCGATTAGTACATCGATGATAATTGAATTCATTCAAAATAAATACTAACTTATGACGATTTACTTCAGGTTAATAAACTGTGCAAAATTATTTTTTTTATGTGATTGGTAGGCAAAAGCAGTCAGCGTCGCCCATTGACACCCGCAACATTAAACTTAATATTTTTGGACATTCTAATTGTAATTTTGAAATCGCCAGTCCGTCTTGAGCAAGAGTGGTGATTAATGCTGATAATTTAAACCTTCTACGTGTGAGAAGAGGCCTTAGTTCAGACTGGGCACTAATAGGCTGATAATGATGTTGTTTTTAGAGGACTGCATAATATTGTTTATTTAAATATTTACTATTATATACTTATATACATATAAATATGTATGTGGTAATATATAATAATAATGATCTTCATACCTACTCGTAATATCTCTATCTGAAATCATGTACAACAAATACGTAACTTAACGCAACTGAATGAAAAGCATGGAACTTGTTAGAGACTGCCTTTATTTTATCGAGTTACCTACAAGAAGGAACTAGAAAGATCTAGAAAAACACGACCATCTCACGAATCAGATATCTAGACGAAGTTTAGTATTTGCTTGGCTCAAAGTTTCATAACATCTGAATGTCATATATGTTTTCGATAACACCGTGTTTGGCTAAGTTATTTGTACTGATGCGTATTTTTAGTCATATAGTAAAAAAAACTATGTCAAAAATGATATACATAATATGAATCTCGAAATAGACGTAACTACATAGCAATCAGAAAGAAACAAAACGTAAAAGTTTTGTGTTCAAAAGTAAATACATGATCCAAATATCTATAGGCTATATAATATATTTCCTCCCAACAAACAAAACTTTTCTGTAACGTATTGAATGTTAATACAATAAATTGAACGTAAAAGGCATTGTTTATTTAAATGCTATATCAATAGCATTTACTTTTATTTAACTTCACCAAAATATATTCGATTCAAAGTATGGCTAACAAGGCATCATCAATAAAAACAAGCAATACAAACAACAATACCTGTCTTACAATCACAAACCTACACAATCCGATATCTCCACCCTGATCAAAGAGGTCACAGCTTGCAAAAGATCTTATTACGCAAATAATGGCAGTAAATAAAAACGAACGTCCACAAGCCCGTTTTGATGTAGGTCCAACTTACCTGAAACAAATGAATGGGCTACTTAGTTATGTATGCTATGGTGTTAAATATTAACTTATGTGTGCGTACCAGTCGAGGTCAGTGACTTGTCTTGTGATTTTTGAATTTGTTTAGCTCCGTGTGTGTAATGTGCGCCTGGTACTTTTTTAGTGAGGTGGTTATTTTTTGGTTGGTGTTTTGGATAAAATGGATTTGGAATTTTTTTTGAAATGGCATTGGATGGCGCTGCCAAATAAATAATTGAATCCATTACGGTTGATATTAAGATAATGTTTTTCGTCATTTTGAGGATTAAAAATAATCAATTCGATTTATCATGAAAAATACATATTAAAATTAATCAAAAGTGTTTAAACCATTTTCCAAGAAAATAACCCACAAGAAATGCAAATTCAAAAAATATTTTACTATTTTCACGTCAGCAACTTAACAGGCAGCTAACGAGTAGAAAGCACGCGAAAATGGTCCTTACGTGAAAGGAAAATATGTGATATCATGTCATAGAATTGGCAGGCAAGTATAGTATAAGGTAGGGATACACCGCGCCGCTGCGTCTCGTGAGATAATAACATGTTGATGCGTGCACACGTGTTGCAAGACTTGCTTTATTACACATTCGAGACGCTCTCCTTTGAAAGGAATCCGACACGAGAGAAAATTAATTAATGCCATGCGAGACATGCTCTTTAAGAATTCTGTCGCGTATTTTCTAAAATTATGTTGTTATTGTAATTTTTTTTTTGCGATGTGTTTTTTTTGAATTTTGCATTTATGCCATAAAGAAAGATTACGATCATGTTTTTTTTTTCAAATACAAATTATTAATTCAAACCAGTAAAATTTTCGTGTTATTACAAGTTTACGGGTCTGTTTGGAATTTAAAGCGAGTTGTTTTTTATTATATTTTGAATTACAATTTCCCACAAAACCACTATCAATAATAATAATGAATACGTTAAAAATTAGTTTTTTTTATGTTAGTCACATAGGTGTAAGACACTCATAGACTGTATAAAGTATAAGTTTGAGCCTTCATGAATAAAGTTACAATAAGTAAGTACATATGTAAGATTACACAATATGTGTTTTTTTTAATACCTACTCAATCTTGTCATTTTTTTATGGAATTGTGTTATGGAAAAAGTGCAGACGGGTCACCTAACGGCAAGCAAAGTAATCACAGTTTGATGCCTTTTTAAGAAGGAGTAATTAATATTTATGTAGTTTCAGTTTATGATACAGTTTTGACGTATCAAATAGAAAACATTTTTGTTATAGATATAAAACTATTTTTTAATCGTATATTAAAAAAAAGTGTGTGTTTCTACAGTGCAAGTTTATGTCATTACCAACTATTTCCGATCAATACCCGACCAATTCAATTGCAAGATAACGTTTATTGGAATAGATCAATTAATCTTGTATCAGGAACGAACAATGTGGAATAATGTATTCACATATAAACATGCAATTATTACAATATAGCAAGTAAGTAATTAATTAAAAGATTTTATCGTGACCAGATTGGGTTCCTCAAAGTGCTTGTTACACAACCGCAACCGTTGAAAATATCGGTGTCCACAAAGTCAACAGTTCAGCATAATTGAATCGACATAGGTAATGGTCGTGATAAAGGAAGGTGGGTTGCCACCTGTAAGGGGGGCACCACGTGCAGAAACCGAGTGAGAGAGACACCTACACACCCCTCTCCGTCACACTAATGGCCGCCGTACGTGTGCTTACAGGTAGCGTGGGTGCTGTGCGTGTTGAAGCAGGAGTCTGGCGCAACATCTGTTCCACATCCAAATATATGCCACACACACCGTCCCGTTATTTTGTTTCATAGGTACCTACGTACGTAAATAGGCCTCTGTTACAAGTTTCGATTTCGATACGCCATTGTGAGGCGGCGTTTGATAACGAATTCAATCATGGGGAAGTAGGTGACGCAATTTGCGTTCATATGCCTCAAGGAAACGGTCGTAAAGGGATTTTTGTTTCCCTCGATAGCAGCAAAAAGGAATATTTCAATAAATATTAAAGACCTCGTTTTAATATCTACATAGTTATCTTATCTATGTGTTCATATGTCACGAATGTCACAGCCACACTGACAATAAAGTTTGGATTATAAACATGGGATAAATTCTACAGTACCTAAAATGCATTCAGTTATTGATAGTTCAACGGTATTACTCTTTGTAACTAACATAATACAAATGGGTTTAATTGCCTTCCTCTTGTTACCACTCCTCGATGTGGTTACACAAGCTAAATGTATTAAATACTTCAAAGAACATTTACTTACACATCACCTTACTATTTCTTTCGTGGCCTTGTATGTTCTAATAGTGGGAATGTTCGGAATTTACGGGCCATTGCAAATATTGTGTACACTAAAATTTCCGAAAATGATAAGATCCCTTGAAACTCCCGTAGAAAAACTGAAACGCATTATAGAATTGACAAACGCAACAAGAAATTATTTACTAGCGTCATTTTCACTTTTCTTCCTGTTAGTTATTTGGAGACTATTTGAATTAATAATATTTTCAGCGAGACTTCACGAGTTCTCTGATTTGATGGCAAACTACGACTTGGTTGATATAGGATATGCTCAAAATCAAGATGAAGACCTTCCTGTAATAGGAATCATAGAAGACGAGATTGAAGGAGACGACGTTGATACCTTTAATTGGCCATTAGTGGTGCATTTAAGTGAAAAGGAAACATTAAGGTTAAAATCGTTTTTAGAAGAATCACCCCGTGCGTGCACTTTGATACAACGAGACTCTGTGATACTTATACCTGAAAGATCAGAGTTAGCGGAGAGGATAGATGAAATCGAAATTCCACTGGATTGTGATGTAGAAACTTTCACAATTCTGAAGGACTCTGGGCAGTTATCAGAAGTTATAGAAACTAAAAAAGAACCTCCTCAACAAAATGATAAACTTGTTTAGTGCATTTCTTGGTACGTCTCTATTTATAGAATTAGTAGTGGTTATAGTCCTGGTAAAACCTTTGCAACAACCATGCTACATAAGAGATGCTTGGTGTCAGTTCAATGAAAATTGTCGCCAGCCGCCCGACATAGTTTCTTTACTTTTGTTTTTATTATTTATCAGCACATTAATGGAAATTTCTGTAGAAAGTCAAGGACATCGGGATCTTTTGCAAAATATAGACAGCACCAGTCTTACCTTAGAATTCTATAGCAGCCGACTATCATTATGTTATACTTGTTTTATCATGCAAGCTTATCTTTTCTTCCTTATTGAATGGCTAGTGAATTTCTCAGTTAGAATGGCTCGATTATTGGAATTTGAGCTTATGTGTAGACATGCTATTTTGACTAGAGATGATAATATACAAGTCTCTAGTACTACCATTGTGAGTACTGCTGTTAATGGAGACCTTAGAAATTCTGAAGGTAAACCTAAACCAAAAGAAGTGCCATCACAAGCACCCAAGCTAAAAATAGCAGATTGAAGTATTTATATTAAGAGGAATGGTGTCTATATCATCGGACATAGCTAACCAATCAGCAAACTCGTTGGACCGGGAAATAGGAACATTTTAAGCACCATATAGGATTTATTCGTTGAAAAAGTTCCATTTCAGATAGACAGGCTAACACCAAAAAAGAGTAAAATTTACAAATTCACAAAACGAATGCTTGTCATGGACTTGTCAATAGAATGTCACAAATGAAGTGTTGTACAAATGCCCAAAAAAAAAGATAAAAGTGAATTAAAATAAAGTGGTTTATACAAAATGCCATAGAAAGATTTCCTTGCGACATAATAAATTAAGATCAAGAAGATGGACGCCAGCTGTATGGTTTTGACTTGTCTGCTCCTAATACAAATGAGCATAATTTTGATCATGCTGAACCCAATATATGATGTCATAAAGCTAACACGGCTCATTAACAACTTGACAAAGTGTTACAGACGTACATATCTATTCTTCATTGCATTTTACTTTACATCTGTTTTATATCTCGGAATGTATCTTCCTCTTCAAAGTATTCACAAGTTGATTTTTTGCGTCAACTTACACGAATATGATAAGCTGACTCTGCTTCACAACGTCGAGAAGAACTACATCACAGCTGGTTTCTCCCTATTCCTAGTTGTCGTGATCTATGGAGTAAGAGTTTTACTCTCCTATACCGCAAGATTAACTCTTATCTCAGATAATCGAGATCAGATGAATGTTCTTGAAGTGAAATCAAAAGAAAAGCAATTATTTAATGAAAATATCTTACCGAATCTTCTAAGAGTTAAGAGATCTATATCATATGAAACAGTTTTGTTTACTAACGAACTTAGAGAACAACTGAAACTTATAATAAAAAACATGGAACTACCTCGACAGAACACGCTTTCTACTCTCTTAGAGGCAAAGAATGTCACCAGCGTATGATTGATTGCACTTATTATTTACATCCGAATAAATTTTGATTCATATTTTCGTTTATATTTTTCAAAACTATTGATTACGTTGACAGAGGTATTTGGGAAGTTTTTGGTATCGTACCTGGCTCGCTCGCTCGCTCTGGAGCGGGCGACGGGAAATATTCCAAGACTGGGCTATAAAAATAAAATGCCAGTACAGAAGTAAGGGAAAGAAAAATGTCGAATAAGAACGTTTGGAGTGTGAGAAAAAAGGGAGCGTGTATACATTAGAGGGCCGAAATGTTTTCCGTTGAATTGAGTATAACGTTTATAGGGTTCCGTACAGAATCATAAAACGGAAAACTTATTGATTCAACACGGTTCTGTCTGTCTGCAGGTTAAGCAACATTCATGTTTAATTAGGTACAACTTAATATTTTATTCGGTAAGGTTAGATAGAAATCTTCGTAGCTTCTGTTTGGATTTCGGATAATATTTGCTTACATTTATTCGTGTTCGTTTATTACCACAAAACTAGGGCCTAGGGACTAGTAGGAACAGATTGACCTTAAAAAATATTAATTGTCCATTAACATCCGCTACGTAACTGTGCAGAAATGTTCAATATAAATAATCGTTTCAGCTCCAGCGTATCTGCAAGACCCAGCTTTGATTACAAAGTCGGTCATTGAAAGAATACATGCGTATTGTAGTCTGGCGTTGGCACCAATTCAAAATTGCCAGAGTGGCGCCAGACTTGTCAGGTATCCGCCATTGCGAGCCAGAATTAATGCCATATTGTTTAAATTTAGTACTCTGAAGCTAAATATAGATATTCGTTTTTGGTAAACAATTTTATTCTTGAATAGGTCAGGGATGAGTTAATGTTTTTGAAGATTTAATTGTACGAGTATCTTGTGTAAAGGTGGATCTGTTTGCGGTCCCGTGTTTTGTACTCAAACACGTGTCACTGTCGTTCTTTCTGTAGTAATGTTAAGTCGACGATGGGTCTAAACATTTACAACAGCTCTCTGTGTTGAGAAGCCTTTCATTGGCTGACCTGGGCTGTTAAATATTGTAATGATTATAGTTAAAAGGTGATTTAGAGAATAAAGATTTTAGATTATGGTCAATTGTCACCGTATTAGAAACTCTTGTGGTATTGCATAGGCATTAGCATACTAGTCTCACAGTTATTTTTTTCCTTAACAACATTTTCAAGGCACGGGTTTTTATATAAAATTATAAGTTAAAAGTCCATTTTCAAGACAGACAAATGATACATTTTTGTTTGCTGATTTGAAACCTTTTTAGGTTTCCGAAGGTACAAGCTTACAAACCTCGAACTCAAACTTATTAATAAAGGTGAAACTAAAAATGAAAAAAGATAAAACTGAAAAATAAAAACCACTTTTTTCAATTATATTGTTTATAATTTTTCTGTACAAAAACTTTATAATTTAATCTTGGTTGAGTGTAATATGAGTACAGCATTGCCATACCTATATTATTATTATATGCTCCTCAAAAGTATTTCATTTTAATAGAATAAATATAAGCAAATATTATCCGAAATCCAAACAGAAGCTACGAAGATTTCCATATAACCTACCGAATAAAATATTAAGTTGCACCTAATTAAACATGAATGTGACCTCACCTTGCTTAACCTGCAGACAGACAGAACCGTGTTGAATCAATAAGTATACCGTTTATAACGAATGAAATAACAAACACATAATTTTATTTTTTTTCCGTAGTATTTGTACATATATGTATTCCTGAACACAAAACATCTACTCTATTATACTAACCAGCTATAAATAAAAAGTACTAGGAACTCATAAAATACAGGTACATTTATAATTACCGAAGCCCGGATTTCCTTGGACACTTGTGCAAAGGAAAAATCCAAAATACGTATTTTGTGGTCACCACGAGTCACTAGGGAGGCACGCAATGCGCTTTATAAATATTATAGCACTGACTACGATTGAAGTCGGTTCGAGGTAATTCCGATGTAAAATGCAGCTTTTTTGGCAACGGATAAAATATTTATTCTTTAGATGTTGCCAGTCATTCTATGCTATCTTTGCATAAAGTTAATTTAAAGAAGAAAGCCGGATGATTCGGAGGCCCAATTCTTCAGCTTCAACTTTAACCTCACTTACACAACTCATACAGCGAAACACAATGCTTTGGTTGTTTCACGCCAGTTTTCTGTGAGGTATCACTCCGGTCGAGCCGACCCATTTGAACAAAAGCACGACTACCTACACTTAAACATAACAAGAAATATTAAATGTTAAAACAAAAAAAAATCCCGAATTTCCAAAGCGTTTATTAGCTCGACACACAACGAATCTGGAGGGACGACGTGACCTTGAATTCATAATATACCTAATATCGAATATTATACACATCGTAAAACATATGGGTTGCCTGTTACTAACGCCAGAAGCCAATTAGTGACATGACATTCTTTACGCACCAACAATCTTCAGCCGAAGGTTATATACAACCTGACTTTGATCAGGGTCAGAAAGATAATGTATTGAAGAAACAAATATGAATAATCTTTTCTTGTTACGTAACCTTATTATTAACTCAAGATACACGTTTGTTTACTATGTGACTTGGTCTTTGACACGTATTAATACGTTCATAAACATTGGATCTGTTTCTATGAAGGTGGGACGAAACATTGGGACGAAAGAAGAATTTGTTTATCTTAATGGGATAAGTTACTCAATCAGCTGACGGATCACTTGATGGTAAATTTAAAGCAGTTAGTTGAAAAACTCGGTTATTTTCATTATATTGTATGTATTTCGTTATTGTGTTTGATAGTGTATTTCTTTTTAATTTGTATTCATTATTTGATTAAACATAAAACATACAAGTTGATTTAATTTAGTTACGAAATAAAACATGCTAGGATAATACTGTTGCTCTGTTGTAAAATACTACGTAAAGCTGAGATTATTTTTCCGATTAGAAAATAGCGAACTAAATATCAAATCAAGTCCCTTGCCTTGAGTGTAGTACACTAATAAAAGAAAATAATTCCTTCATTATTAAATATTTCTCAATAACGATATTTGACAACAACTTTGGTAAATTCAATTATGTTCACTTCTAATAATTCTATTGTAGGCGCCATTGTTTGTACTATCGACAAAAAATGGGCTTAACCACCCCGTTTTCTGAAAATAAGTTCCTAATAATACAATCTGAAGTATAAATGCCAATTTAATAAAAAATAATACTTTAAGCAGTTATGTTATGAGGTTAATAAAACAGGGGATAATCCTATTGTATTACAACGGGAACAACAATAATATATCTGACTTCAGTTAGTAATTACAACCATCAAGAAGTATTAGGTTTAAGATTTATTTTATCCCCATGTATACCCTTCTGAGGGCTAGTCACCGAGTTTGTACAAACAGGAAGCAGGAATAGCCTTATAAATGGTATTAGGGTGTAAACGATGAGAGATTAGCAGTAAAGGAAGTGCTTTACCGGAATTATGTTTTGTTTTTATGTTATTTATTCCTGTTTGTGTAACTGTGAACGGTGCTGTTACAACAATTTCAAGTTTAGTGTAAGTTTGACCCAGTTTATTGGATATTTTCGTAAAAAAAACCTATAGTGATAAAATATTTTTAGTACTTATTTTGACACCCGAGTTTAAATAAATTTGAGCGATAGTACTTATCATAAAAATAACATTGATGTAGTATAAAGTTTATGCATTCAACTATAAATATTGATAGTGAATAAGGAAACTATATCTATTAAAACAAACACAGACAAAGTTAGGTGAGCACTATATTTTAGTGCGCAAATTTTTGAATGGTAAAATATTGATCTTTTGGACGAAATTTTTTACTGGACGAAATAAAAATATTATAGTTTGTTATGTCAAATATATGCTTTCTATTTAATACCAATTTCAATACACTACATAGAACGACAAATATTTGATTATATGCAAAAAAAATGATAAAAATCCTTTTATTACAAAGTTCCCAAAATAGCTATTCACAGAGTACCTACATACTTCCTTTCTAACATAGAATTGCAAAATTGAGTTCTTTTTTTATGTGAAGCGGTGGCAAATGAGCAGTTTCATTACCTGATGGTACGCAATCGACGCTGCTCATGGACATCAGCAACACCAAACGAATTGCAAGTGCCTTCCCAGCCTTTTTACGGGGATAAGGGATTTTAGGGACTTAAAGATAGGGGAGAGATAGGGGAGAAAGTAAAGATTGGACATCCGATAACCTCACTCACACGGCGAAAAACAACGCTGTGGTTTTTTCAAGACGGTTTTCTGCGAGGCCGTGGTATCACTCTCCCAAACTTACTTCAACAGCTTTATAGTATTTGATAGTAGCGAGTCCATTTTTTATTAAATGTTTTTTTTTATATTTCAACCTCCACTTCAATTTTCTTTACTGAAAACCCAATTACAACTACAGTATTGAGATCTTAATAAAAACTCAAAGAATTGGCAATCATAACAAGGATTTTTTATTAAGTATATTACAACATACACCTGCACCTTTTTAACAAACCCCATACCTACTACTTACATTATAATCTCCACCGTGCACTCAGTATTTTCTATTTCACAATTATACCGAAGAGTAAGCGGGACAGAATACCAAGCGGAGTGATTAAAGTTCCCCGTGTGTAATAACCGCGATAAGCTTAAAGTATGAAATGTACAGTCGGCATAAAAGTTTTGTGTACCGTCGACTGTGTGTGTTAATAGAAATGTGTGTGTTTCTAGCCATTTTAAACCGACTTCCAAAAAGGAGGATGGTATATATGCTTTTTGGTGACTGTACCCTGTTCCTTGATATATTCTATTTATCGTAGTCTTAGTATGTGGCTTAATTTATCCGTGACAGGAACGTTGGCGGTTTTAGTCTGAATATATTTGAATAGCTGGTAGTACCATTGCTGGATGGTCGAAATGGAATAGAACTATTTACGTTTTTTGGGTGAATGCTTACCTGCTTATGTCCTGTCTATATATCTTTCTTTGGAAGTATAAGTGAGTTGTGTCTTTTACTCTTTCACAAAAAACTACTGGATGGATTTTGACTAAAATCTGCGAAGCAATGGATTATATATAGAACAGGAACAGTCCCTCTGACATAATCATGCAAGCAAATCATGCATGCAGGTCTGAAGAAGGTCTGAATCGATTTCGCGAATTCTTTTTCGTAATATTTAGAAATTTCAATCAAATAATTATTTCATTAAAAATATTTTGAAAAGTAGGTATGAAAGAAAATGGAAAATACCAATTGATATCGTGGTGGTTCAATACCAAAACAAATGAATGACACCGATATAGTTGAATCACCTCGAAACAAGAACATCATCTAACTTACATTATCTTCACCAGTCCAGGACATAAAGTCTGTTCTATAATGTCATTCGCGACACCAAAATTAATTGAACATCTTCAAAAGCCTTTTTTTTCGTTCAAAGAAAAAACTGTCACATAAAACTATAACTATCTATCCTTGATAAATATAATCATAAAATGTCGTAAATGCCAGCCATCCGTTACAAACCTTTCGCATCAGTAATTTTCATTATAGTTAACGTTTTTCTCAATTCCCTTCCTCATCATCAAATCTTGTTAGAGGTCAAAGAAAATAAATTATAAAAAATGGGGTTTCTTATAAGAGGAAGCCCTGTTAATCTTGTTGCTTTATTTAAAAAAGTTAAGGCTCGGTTTAAGAGATTTGAACGTTAAACACAATAAACAATAGGTTTACTTTTCTTTGTTGGGGTAGGTAAGATTGTTTTTGACGTGAGGGGCTCACAAGTTTCATTTTAGTCGGAAACTTTTGGAGTTGACAGACAATAATAGATCTTAACAACATGAATGTATCTCTGTAGACTGTACTTTATTTGAAAAATATCCTAAGATTTCCATGCCAGAATCTCTATCTATTTCTTAGAATATTTTAACTTACAATATTTGTAAGTAAAAGAAGAAAATAGGATTCGCATTTTAATGCAAACTCAAATAGTGAATACAAAGTCTGAAGAGTCTATAACAAAAAAAAAACATACAGTGAAAATTCAACCACAAACTGAATATCGCTAAATAAAATTCGTCACGCCTCATAAAGGTTGAACGACTTGCAAACGACGCATACATTGGCTACCAAAAATATTAAGCCATCCGTTCTTTACCACAGACCTATTTATAAAAAGCAGGTAACAATATTGGGGTAGCCTTCGCATGAAGCGATACCTAAATTTCCCAAAAAAAAAAACAATTGAACACACGATAAAAATCTCCAACACACTGATAAAAAACGTTCGTACAATTTTCTTCGGTTCACAGTTTAAGTGTTTTAACCCGTGGAGTAATAGTGCTGGAAAATCTTGGCGAAACAGCTTAATATAAGCCTGCTGTAGATAGAGAGAGACAGATATAGTGGTCCTGCTAATGGCTTGGGGCAGGCGAGCCAAAGGCACACTCGTAAATAAATGAGCGAATGTGTTTTCTTTTTTTTTCTATTTTTTCTTGGCGTGGGAGCACATTGCTCTGAAGTTAGGGTCGGGCGGGATTGTTTTACGACTAGCTGTAACGTTGAAAGTAGGTTAGTTCTGTGTGTTTAGCTGGTGATGAGCTTGTTTTAAATACGGAGCCGCGGAAATATCTACGAAGGTGTTCGTTATGATTACTGGAAATATTTTTGCTGTTATTTTTGTACCAGTTTACTGAACGTCCCTTTTTTTGTTACCTACGTTGGAAACAGTATGGATCGATTTTTGTCAAACTGTACGAGAACAACCCTCATTGGATGAAGCGGACTTTGTACTAATATTTAGCCATTATCAGCATCTAGACTACACTTTTTCTAAAATACCAGAATATACCTTCTCAAAAACATTGTTTATTTATTTATATGTTTCTTCAAAATTCATCCATGTTAACTTCAAGCTAAAAGTGTTCACGAAAACTGTGTAAGACAAAATTTATCCAGTTTTCCCCCCTCCCATCAGTTTATTGTAGCCATTTTCTGGCGCCCATTGTTGTGTGGGAGGGGTGCTGTAGTTCGTGACCGTACGCCGACAAGGAGTGTGGTTCAAGATACAGAATGTAAGTTGCAAAAATTAAGAATAAAGTAAATTTTCCTAAATACTACTTATAACAATATAAGAGAAAAAATCTTACAGATTACGAGTTTAGAGATTCACATTTCATGAATAAACGATCAGAAAAGAATTTTGTAACGAGTCATTCTCGATACATAAAAAACACACCATCATCAGCAGCCTATGGCTAACGAGAAGCCCACAGCTAGGCAAGCACAGGACACTTCTCAAACTCACTTCTCAAAACTTTACAAATTTCACAAAAATGTCAGATATATAGACATATAGACTAGAAATATAGACTTAAATTTGGAATTAAATTTTTTATTCACTGATGCATAGATATATTTCCCGCTACATTCCTTCAATTGTACCAAACTCTAGTTAGAGAAAACGTTCGCCAGCATCGTCCAAGCCCCGATGTATCAGATATAACCTTAAATTATTAATGTTTATTCGCGTATTTACTTCTCCACGCTGAAAGTCACTGTTCAGCACAAACATAACATTTTCTATACTTTCTTACATGCTTTGGATACAAATACTAGGAGCTGCAAGTATGAGTACCAAGCGGAAAGAGGGATTTTGTTAAATTTCTAAGTCGAGTAAATTATTAATTATATTTTGTGGGCTTAAGAAAATCGTGTGTTGGAAAAAAGGAACATCAGTCTGCATAGTATTTGAAAAAAATCCGTGACTTTTTTCTATTAGATAGAATTTCCTACACAAACGGTGAAAGAAAAGTGTTACTTTAATTTGCTCCGAGGATAAAAATGTTACGTTATATTTTAATTGTAAAAATTTGCTAAAATATTATGATATTGTATCTAATGAGATTATCAATAGTCACTCGTGAGTTGCCGGCGTTTTAGGGAATAGGGATTTGACTATTCCAAATTTGGGGATTGAACTGCAGTGAAAAGTCAAAACACGCCGCGTTTCCACCTGTTTTGTTACAGGTACTCCGTATTACGTTTATTTTAGTTACAAAGATTTAATAGCAAACACGCATTAATTTTGGTGAAACCGACAACTGGCCTTGATATACATTAAGGGTGACTTAAGGAGACTTTTTTTTTATGTGAGAGAACTGCTATTGGTGAACTGAAGATATCTCTTTATATATCTTATTTCAAATGTTTTTTAATACTTTTAGCCTCAAGGTATTCTATATTCGGATACGACAGAAGTAAACGCCCGGGTGTCGTCACTGCGAGATCCACCCGTAGAAAACGTTGGAACAGTGGTTATGTGCCCGTTTGAGTTGATCACCGCCGTGTTCTAAGGGAAGCAATCTGCTGCCCAGCCCATCTGCATTGGCTTTCCGAGGTGTGGAGCAAGAGGAAGCGCAATAAGGTGCCAAGACCACCTCAAAGTAAAAGAAAGAACGAGTTAGATTTTAGGCAGTAACAGTCTGACAGCCCTTCTTGTCCCATCTAGGACGGCCAAAGTAGTTCGGTAATTTTCCTCATTCAAAGAAAAGAAAAACCTATTTTGTATTCTGCATTGGCATGTTTGCCAGACTTCGTGGCAAGGTAAATAATGAGACTGTAGATGGTTAAGGTCTGTTTATTACTTTAATTGCTGGTGCTTATATACTAAGAAGATGCGTGAGATTTTCAGATTTAGCTATCCTAACAAACGTGCAACAATTAACATGTGTGTCTTATCTCTATCGTATCTAAGTAATGTAGCGACGTGATCGTGCCGCTACATATACTCCCCCCTTTTAAAAATAATTAACATATAAATTGAAAAAAATTAGTATGTACCTAATTATATAATAACTTAACCTTGCTGATAAATTACATCCTATATGTAATGTCATTGTTGCTAATTCGAAGGAAATAAAAACTGCTGCCTTTGTTGTGACGGCGGCGGCAGTCGATGAACTATCCACTGCATTTGTGCTGATTGTTTCTGCTGATTGAAAATTTTAAATTCTTGTTATTACGAAGTCGTAATAATTCTTGGTCATCATGCTGACATCTTGCTAAATCAGCATAATTAATCGGTGATGGCACATCAATTTGTTCTATCCGTGACAATGCGTCTGCTACAATATTGTCACGTCCTTCTATATGTTGAATGTTGGTACAATATTGTGAAATAAAATCCAGTTGTCGTATTCGCCGTGGCGTATCATTAGATGACGGTTTTTGGGAAAATGCGTAAGTCAAAGGTCGATGATCTGTAAAGATAGTAAATTCTCTTCCTTCGACTAACCTTTGAAAATGTTTGACTGCCATATATATTCCGAGCAACTCTCTGTCGAATGTCGAGTATTTTTGTTGAGTATCACTTAATTTCTTTGAAAAGAATCCTAATGGTTCCCAATTACGTCCTGACTTCTGCTGCAGAACTGCGCCAACACAGGTCGAACTGGCGTCCGTCATAAGTGCCAAAGGGGCGGTGCGAGAGGGGTGAACTGTTAATACTGCGTTCATTATATTGTGACGGAAAAGTGGTTCAAACTCTTTGACATCATGACGTCAATGGATGGTTGTCAAACGTTGCCTAGAGATTGTAAATTTCGTCGTGAATTGTCAACACGAGTTGGTGTAATCGGTAAGGCGTGTGGATTACACCACAGAGACCCCGAGTTCGAGTCCCGCCGTAAACATGTAGTTTTTTAGTTGATAGAAGTTTTGTGGAACTTTCTGGAATTATTTGTGTGAAAGAAATGAAAAATTAAAGAGCGAGAAGGAGAATAAATAAAAATGAGTAACGAAATTATTGGAAGGTTCTGGAGTCATGACGATCAAAAAGAATAACGAAATTGAATGTTCCAGAACCTGAACCGGGGGTATATAAGCGGAACTGCGGCTCACCGCTGGCAGTTGAGTTCTAAGTCTAAAGCGATTCGGAAGAAAAGGAAGAAGTGAAAAAGAAGAAAAGTGAGTGAAATAGTGAAGTGCAGTCAGTTAAGTGAGTTAAGTCAGCGTGAACGGCAAAGTTGTGTCAGTCGGCCGGACTCTGCTGGAGAGGAACGCCGATAACTTAACTCCGTGGACGCTGTAACTTAAGGGCAATAGAAAGTCTGAAATCTGGTATTAGTGTTTCATTTCATCCAATCCCGTAACCCAAGCCCGCATAGTCAGGAACGTGACGTCAGGCACGTAACATTTGGTGTCAGAAGTGGGATAGGAGAAAAATGCCGCTAGTGCCGCAGGTAAGAGGAGTGAGTACCCGTGCAATGGCAGAAGCGCAGCGTGTGAGGGAAGAGAGTGCTGCAGCTCAAACCAGCGATGCAGAAGCCAAGCCTGTGCAGGTGGATCTACTGCTACAGCTGCAGCAAATGATGGTAGAGCAAGCGCGCCGCCAAGAAGAACAGCTACGGGAGCTGAAAGAAGATCAAGCTCGTCGCCAAGAGGAGCATGCACGCTGTCAGGCGGAGCAGCTACGGGAGCTGAAAGAGGATCAAGCTCGCCGCCAAGAGGAGCAAGCGCGTCGCTTGGAAGACATGCATAAGGATTTCACGAAGGGACTGCAAAAGGCTGTCGAACGGGTACAAGAAGTGGAGGAAGGGTTAGGCAAGTTGGAACATCGCGTCAAGGCGATAGAGGAGAGAGTGGAAGAAGAGATCTCCAAAATCAAGCAGGAAGTGACAAGCCCAAGCCCTTTGAAGAGCCGAAGCCGTCTTGCAGCCGTTTTTGAAGCCCCGAATGCGGCTTCAAGTGCAACGAAAGGGCTTAAGATTCCCCATTACGACGGAACAACATCCTGGACCGCGTTCAAGCTACAGTTTGAGACACTTATGGAGGCTTATGGTTGGACTCAGAAGGAAGCACAGTCAGCCCTTATCCTGGCCCTCCGTGATCAAGCGCTCTCAGTGCTGGAAGCTATCGGCGCAAGTGGGGATCTCAGCTTTAGTGCTCTCCTCGACGCACTTGAGGCACGTTTTGGAGACAGCCACCTCGAGCACGTGTACAGAGCGCAATTAAAAGAGCGTACTCAGCGTGCTAATGAGGGCCTACAGCAATGGTCCGTGGAAATCGAGAAACTTGTGCGTCGAGCTTTCCGGTCGACTCCGTCAATGATTGAAGGCACGCTTCTCCAAGCGTTCATTGACGGTATTCGGGACCCCGAAGTACGAGCCGCTGTTCATCTGGGCCATCACAAGAACATGAAAGAAGCTCTGGCCCATGCATTGGAAGAGGAAGCCGTCCGTGGTAACTCCCGTACCTTACGTCTGCGGGAAATGACGACAACGGAGCAGGTACCTCCACGCCGTCGGAACTTCATGTGCTATGGATGTGGAGAGCGTGGGCACATACGGAGCGACTGCGGTCTCAACTTCTGACCAGCAGGGAAACTTAAATCCAGCCAGGGCTGCGGGGTGGGCGCTGGCTGGTAGTGGAACAACCCCAACAATCTACATCAAGCAAACCAACGATGGAAATACTCTGGTGATAGACGGTCAAGTAAATGGGAAAAACAGTCAGCTAACATTAGATACTGGAGCTTCAAGGACGGTGATAAATGTTCGGCTGCTCGAGCAAAACATCAGGAAACACCTTAAACCAATTGTTGGCCTACAAATGAAATCAGCTACCGGCCAGTGCATACCGATAAGTGGAAAACTGCATGTAACAATCAAAATTGGGGAACGTGTTTATCGACATGAGGTTATTGTGGCCAAAATTCTGGATGACTGCATCCTGGGACTTGACTTCCTGCAAGGGCACCAGTGTAACATCGACTTAAAATCTGGAGTTTTACTATGTGGAACTGAGGAAATTCCGATGAAGGGTGGAACCCTGGGAAAAGTTTGCTGTTTAAGAAGAACTGTTCTTGCACCAAAATCACAGACTCTCGTACCAATCGCATTACCTAGGAGGAAGGAAGGAAGTTTACCTCGAAGGTGCGCTGTGATTGATAAATCGGAACACGTAAGCTCATGGCTACCGGCAAGAACTGTCGTGGGGTCATCTGATGTCAACCGCATTCCGGTATTCAACTTCAGTGATTCAAAAATTACGATTGAAGAAGGAGAACCTGTGGGCGTATTGGAAGAAGTGGCCTGGATAAGAAAATGCTCGGAGAATCTTGTGAAGAAGGACAGTACGGGAATTGACTTTGTAACGAAAATCTTAGACGAAAACAAAAGTCTGACAAAAGTGGAGACTATGAAAGCTAGAAATTTACTTCTCCGATTCTCTGATGTGTTTTCAAGAAGCGATGGTGATATTGGCCGGTGATGCCATTTGGATTATGCAATGCACCGGCAACTTTTGAGCGTTTGATGGAACAGGTGCTGGCGGGACTGCTGGGCGAAACCTGCCTAGTTTACCTCGATGACATCATCATTGTTGGACGGGATTTTGACGATCATCTAAGGAAATTGGAAAAGGTACTCGACAAGCTGCGTGGAGCAAATTTAAAGTTGAGTCCAAAGAAATGCTCTTTCTTCAAGCGCGAAGTGAATTATCTAGGTCATGTTATTTCTGAGAGAGGAATTGAGACTGATCCAGCCAAGACTGTCGCTGTCAAGGAATGGCCAACACCTAAAGACAAAACGCAAGTTCGGGCATTTCTTGGATTGTGCTCGTATTATCGGCGGTTTGTAAAAGGATTCTCGGACATTGCCAAGCCATTGCATCGATTGACAGAGGATAAACGTGCCTTTGTTTGGGACGAGGATTGTGAGCAAGCCTTTCGAGAACTAAAAGAACGGCTTTGTAACACACCAATTCTCGGATATCCCAGCGCGAAAGGAATATTCGTAGTTGATACGGATGCCAGCAATATTGGAATAGGAGGTGTCCTTTCACAACGCGATGGTGAGCAGGAGAAGGTTATTGCTTACTTCAGCAAGTCACTATCCAAGCCAGAGAGGAATTATTGCGTGACCAGGAGGGAATTGCTGGCCGTAGTCAAAACCCTGCACCATTTCAAGAAGTATTTACTGGGACGGAAATTTTTGATCAGAACTGATCACGCTGCTTTGAAATGGCTGCTTCAGTTTAAGGATCCCGAAGGCCAAGTAGCCAGATGGCTGGAACAACTTCAGGAATTTGACTTTGAAATCGAACATCGCGGCGGAAGAATTCATGGCAACGCAGATGCATTATCGAGACGCCCATGCGTGGAAGATTGCAAACATTGTGCTAAGAAGGAAACTGCTTTTCTTAAGGTGATAAGGACTGATACTGTTGACGAGGCATGGGGAAATGATGCGATGAAATTAGAACAGGAAAGAGATGCAGATATTAAACCAATACTGGAGTGGCTACGAAGTGGTAACAAGCCAAGTTGGAGTGACGTCGCCCAATATAGCGCGGT